TTTGTTTAAGTACGCGGAAATCGAACACGGGTTCTCATAATTTACCGCGTTATTTTCGGTTTTACGTGACTCACGCGAAATTATAAAAACCTGCTCCGCGCGGAACGTGATTCGGAAGCTGGCGGGAGGGTTATGCCGGCACAGTGATAGCGTGAAATAATTATTCCCTCTGAAAACAAACATTTGCGAAGCCAGGAAGTTGAGATTCACAGACTTTTCTACATTTCCTCCCTTTTTTTCTTTTTGCTTCTTTTAATTCCCGAGGAATGGAGAAAACAACCCTATGTTTAGAGATAAAATGTGGAGTAGGTATTAGAAATTTGAAAAAAATTCTTTTGCCCTGAGTATGTGAGAATAATATAAACTTGATCAGATTTGTCTACAATTATGCTTCTGCGCGCTATTATTAACTGCGCGAAAATAAATACGCCCGTACAGAAATAAATAAGTTCGCCAAGTGCGTTGTGTTTGAGAAACGTGGTTCTTTTCGAAACTCGAAATTGTTTCTTTTATTTTCATTTAGTAAAGTTCCACGAAACAAAAGTGCAACGAGTTACACAAGTATCTTGTTGCGTATTACACCGAATATGCATTCTTGTTTATAAGTATTAGGGTATTTATTAAATATGAAGCAAACCTAAACAGTCGTTGCAAAATTATTAAGTTCCTGTACATTTCGTCTGATGTATGGTACTAATTTTGCCGAAGAAATGTCACATAAATCGGGCAATACTCATGGAAAATTATTTTTTGAGGAATAACGTTTTCAATGAAAGAAATGGCAAAAATTGAAAGGAAGGTTCACATTTGCTTAAAAATTTTAGAGTCCAACATCATTTTAGTGTCATATTATTATGCATAGAAAAAGAATATACAATTTATGTAAAAAGACAGGTGACCTTATAAAAGAACAAAAAAAATTTCTTCCAACCTTATTCACCTTTCAGAATCATTTGAATTACGTATAAAAATTGTCTCACATCACCATAGCTAGAGAAGATAATTATACGTCCTGTTTTACGTGGCTCGTATAACTTGGATTTCTAATTTTGTGATTTGGTATCGAAAGAATTAAGAAGAAAACGCCACTCTCTATAGCAAAAATCTCAAGAACAAAGGATTCTATCCACTTGTTGAAAACACCCAAGTTATGTCACGAGAATAAAACTAAATAGAGCGAGCTTCCATCATTATAGCGCACTTAGCCCCTTAATAGCCCTTAATAGAGACACACAGTCCGTTCACACGCGTCTTTAGATAAACCGTGTGCAAGAATGTAGAACATTCTTCCCAGTATCTTCGAACAAGAATTCCTGAACACACCAGCCACTCTCCAACTTCGTCGTATCAACGGGGGCTACTGTTTTATGTTGCTGCCTCGTTGCTCCAAGTTCGTGTCATCGTGATAACGATTATCGGTGTTTCACGTTCGAAACATTCGTATCCTCCGTCCCAACTTCTGCTCTTCTCCTCCTCTCTCGTTCGCCTTTTCCTCCAATTCACACGTGGATCTTCCGAAACCCGAGTTACGACACGGAGGAGACGGGAAATGAATTCGGTTCGGGAAACGGGGAAATTAAGGTCGAGAAACGAAGTGGCGAGATCTCTTTGTTCGTCTTGGACGACCGAGTGAAAGAGGTCCAGGGAAAGTGTGACGAATTAGGGACATAATCGAGTTTAGCTTTCAATTCGATCCTTTTTAACGGTGTCTCGATGCCTCCTCTTCAGCGATGATATGTATTTTTATAAATAGCTCCGAGCGAGTTCCTTCGACGGACGAGAAAGTGAAGCAACCCTAAACCTACAGTCTCCGGAACTCGCAAAGAGTCACAGTTTCTTTTGTGCCTCCTTGAAAACTTGACACTGTCTTTCATGGAAGAATGGAGTTGAGAATGGAATGCGGTTCAATTTGAATTCGTGAAACGTTGTTTCCTTTTCTTCTTCAACGAGGTGAGACAGAAATTTAGGAAATTTAGATTTGAATAGTAGATTTGAATCTCATTTTCACATTGAAATTTAAAGTGCATAAAAATTTGAAAAGCAACAAATTAGAAAATATTAGCATGTGATGCGTGAATATTTAATAATTATTGTAAATTGAATAATTGAGAGGGAAGAACTCGGAAAAGAGGATTAAAACGGATCGAGCAATAAGTGTTTCCACGCCGTTAGCATCGAACTGTAACCTCGAAGATCTCGCAATGAAGTCACCGTATTCATGGATTACAGGAGAAAATGTAGGTTCCTTGCACAATCTGACCTTTGATTCGACTTTGTTGTAACGTCTTGTTTCAATGCAACTTTCATTATTGAAAAAGGTCATGAAACAAGAGAATGTATATGTGAACTTATAATTCAACAAATGGAACGTGTTGAATTTAGCCGTAAAGTGTTCTTATCAATTCCAACGACACACTTCTTATTATATAATTTATCCATGAAAAATTCCACATGTGCCGTTTAAATATATATAACTTCTACTTGACGAAGCATTGTTAACGTTTCAAAAGTAACTCGTATATTTTGTTTTTTTAAGTCAACAATCAGTTGACGGAGAACAAATAGTGCATTCGATATGACATTGTCATACCTTTAAAGATCAAGGATATCATGTGTACGAGTTATCGGTATAAGACAGTCGAAAGGCCATTAAAAACCAATAAGGATTATAGAGTGCATATTTGCATAAAAGTTTTTACGGTGCCACAAGCTGACGTTCGTATATCTTTATGGCACGTTACTTCATTGACGTTTATTATTGCACCGGTGCTTGGCAGCAAAGTGAAATATTTTCCTAAGTTCGTGCAATAAAGCACTGCAAAGTAAAATATTTTCCTAAGTTCGTGCAATAAAGCACTGCAAATTGAAATATTTCGCGAAATAATCGAGGTCCACAGGAGTGTCCAAGATTTTTCAATACAAGGTAAAACAATTAAAATAAATATCTTCTTCCTTAAGTCAGTCAAGAATGTATAATTTTTTTATCAGATCGCCAAAAAAATGTAACATATTTTGTGGAGTGTCGTGGAATTTTAGTAATTAATCTACGTGTGCCCTGAGATGAAAAGGGTTAAAAATCGCGGTACAAATTAAATTTTAAGCTTATTCGAAATATTTCATAAATAATATTTCCAGAGACGAACACTTCTCCGACAAGATCAATCGAGGCAAATTCATTCACTCTCCAGACTTTCCTCGAAAATCGGCACCTTTTCTTTCTCCCCTCGAAAATCGGCACCTCCAACAATTTTACTTCGCCAAACACTATCGTTCGACATTTCGCACACGTGCATAACCCCTCGAGAGCAGCATTGTCTCTATCGTATCCTTGGATCGGTAGTTTCACTCGATAGGAGAACGAAAACGAAAGTATAGGAGAAAGAACAAGGTGTATACATAGAGAGAGAGGGTGGTAGGGGTAGAAATTCATCGATCGTCCGTCAATCAGTTTCATTTCGGTCACGAAATTCGTCGGCACCATCCCACGTTCCTCCTCCTCCTCCTCCTCGTGACATCGAGGATGCCCGACACGTTCGTAAGGCCGAATCTCGTGTTTGTATGGCCTATTCACGACGTAGACATAATCGTGGCCGTAGCCTGCATAACGGTAAAAACAGATCGGCGTGCATTCACTTTTCCCCGTTCGACGCGCGTGCAGTTTCTATTGCATATACGCGGGGCAGACGAAGACAGCTGCGGGCATGCAATACACCTTTTCAAACTGACGAGTCATCGCTCCACCCAGTCCGCCGTATACAAATAACTCTAATGGAATTACCCTTTCCTTTCGGTGTGTTTCGCACCGAGAATCGAGCCGATCCGCATCTGCCGCGATTCGCTCTCTCTCTCTCTCTCTTTCTCGATTCGAGAGCGAATCGGAGAACCGCGTGCAGAGGAGAACGCAACAGTCCCCGATGAAATTTTCATCGCTGTCGAATTCACGTGACGATCGAGAATACGACTCAGTCGTGGAAAACGAATTCCGATTAGGGAGTTTGAAAGAGGATCGTTTTGTTAGACCAAAGGTTAAAGGAAGGAGTATGGTCCATTGTTTGGGGTAAAATGGGGATGAAAATTGCTTCGTAAGCCATTTTGGGGAAATTTGAATTTTATTTGAAGTAAATTCTATTATTTTTATGAAGAAAGTTTTAACATGGGCCATGGTGGTCATCAGTGACAGGAGTATAGAATAATGGGCAATAAAAATGAGCTTAGAATAATGAAAATTTTCTTGTGGCCCCCTGACCAAACATGTAGTCAACGTGTTAATATATTAATTAAGACAGTTCACAAATTCTTATAAACTTGATATTTGAAACAGTTTATTCAGCGATTTAGCTTGATTGAAACGAAGTACAACTTCTTCGAATCTGTTTCTACTTCTTAGGAATTCCAGGATGTGCTATCGTGGAATGAAATCTGGTACCAATTAAGCACAGTTCGCTAGAATTTCAGGCAGACTCTCATAATCGGTTAAATAAGTTTCCGGAATGCATAGATGGCATCTAAGCAAATGGCATCTATTAAGGTTGAAAAGTAGGTTAACATAGAGACCAAAGATGATTCAATGCTCGAGTGAAAGCTCTAACAGCCGAAGCTGAATATAAACCTTGTGACACGATATGTGTACTTCCTTTCTCGATTTTCACTCTTCGAAGCACCGCGTGTATGAAAAGCACAATAATGAAAAGCACCTTAGAGTAACGAAGAGTCTCGAAATAGCAATTTCTTCGAAAAAATTGATGGGTACCAAGTTAAATCAAACTGCACTTTCAGAATATGTAGAAAAAACGTAATAATAGCGAAAAGTCTCAAGGTAGCAATTTCTTCGAAACTCTTTCCAAGATAGCAAAGATTCCAAGAATACCTTCCTTGCCTTTCCTTCGATAATTAACACGGCAATTACACACCTACAACTTTCTCCTTCTATTTTCAGACGATTCCGATGTGTCGAAGTTCGAGAGGAAGGTGACGAGCAGGTTTCAGACGAGAATCTTCAAGATACCTCGAACGAATCCCGCAAGAAACCTCGCCGACTGAAGCGAACATGCTCGTAATAATCCAACATCGGAGGCATCCTTGCTGGAGGATGCTGCTTGCTCTTGTCCTTTTGTTCGGCCTCGTCAGACATTGCGAACCAATGTCCGCAAAGAGACTAACAGACTCGTCCCCCTCGTCATCGCCCTCGTTAGCAAGAAATTCCGCCGAATCGAGATCGCAGAACCTTGGCTCACCGAGCGATCTAGCCTGGCAAGCTTGGCTACTCCTCGACTCTCAAACTGGAGCACACTCCAGCTTAGACTCCGCCAGTTTCCTTCGACGAATCACACCGAAAAGCGTGTTCATAGCGCCGGCGTTACCAGCACTGCCACCGTGTGCAGACGGTTACCGAGCCGACGCGATGGGCAGGTGCGTGAAAAGCGTCAACATCGATCACGAGGCCCATCTTGGCTTCCTTCTACAACGGCTCAACAATCGATACGGCAACCGAGGTAGCAGTTCCGATTCGTCCTCGTCTAGCAGCAATCAAAAGAAGTCCAGTGGCCCGCTGCAATTGAACATTCCTCTGCTCTCCGAACCGGACACGAAATCGTCTCAAGTAGATCACGAGGAGACCAGAGACTCCATCAAAATCCCAGTCGTGGTTCCTCCTCGAGAAGGGATCGGTTTGAAGGAGAAATCGCCGTTAGAAGCTCTAGTTACGATTTATCAAACGAAGAACCACAGCAAGCCGGAGAAAGACGTGCCTAGTTTTTTTCTCAGAAACCCCAACAACGCTTCTTCGAGCAAGGACGATCCAAGCACCACGTCGAGGCTCGACGCGGTGGTCCCTGTAGCAGAGTTCGTCGACGACACCAACGACACAAGCTTCGCCGACGTGGTCGACTACAAGATTCCCATCGATCTGAGAACTCTGCTGAACATGACGAACGTGAGAACGGTGAACGCCAGCGACGAGCGAGACGTCTGGAGAAACGGATCTCAGTTCTTGAACTCGACCGAGGCGTCTCCGATGTTGATCCTTCTCTCGTCGACGGTCACGTCGCCAAATTCGATAGGTCCCGACGCGGAGAATCTAGCCAACGGTACGAGCCATCGCGCGATCGTTCGGGAGAGCAACGCGACGAGGAACGTGGCCGATAAAGAAACTATCGGTGCAAACGTTCCAGAATCTACATCCCCGGACAGAGTCTTCGATGTACCACCGATCGTGGTAGAGAAAATGGAGGGCAACGAGACGCGCGATGGCAACTCGACCGAAATTCCAAGTTCCGGCACTCGAGAGTCGCAGGAGATCGAATCTTCCTACGACGACGAGATGGAAATGGACGATTACGCGGAGAGTACGGATTTGCCGGACGAAGAATCGTCCGAGGCTGAGGGTGGCGAGATTTTGAAGCACGGAGAGGCTGGAATGGCGATACCTATCAAGGATTTCGAACGCTTGCATCTGGAGAAGCATCAACAGCAAGCGGAACGACACAACGAGATGGAGAGGAACGAAACGTCCAAGGTCAATCTCTTCGACGAGGTTTCGATCCGTTTCAACGATTCCACGAGTCTGGAGAGAGAGGAGAAGGACGACGTTGGCAGCAACGTGTCGAGCGAAGTTAGCATTAACGGCGATATCATCTTGGAAACTACTCTTCTGGACGTGACCACGGACAAGATTCGAAATAACACCAGACTACCTGACAACAATCACACCAGCAGCGTCGAAGACAGCGACGACGATTTGAAAGAACTGTTCGAGTCGGAGAAAATCTCCAGTTCAGAGCCAGAAGTATTGTTCTCTTCTCAGAACGTTCACGGTACAGTGTCCACCAGCCTGTACGGGCGAATACGAACGGAACCAGAGAAAACCGAATCGGAATCTCTGATGGACACTACGAGCGACGAGCTAGAAGCTGCGCCCTCGTCGTCCGAATCCCTTCTGTACGAACCTGGCTCCAGGGAGCAGTACGCCGAGGAAGATCCCATCACCGAGATCCACACCATCGACGAGCAATCAGGCAACAGTAAAGAAGGTCTTTTCCCAAAAAAGTCCAAAGGTTCAAATTCATTCCGAATGTTCGAACCAGAGACACTGAATTTCAGGCCCACCCAGGATTACAACAGGCATCCCGCTTACTCGAGGCAACCGGTGAGATTCCCATCGGAGGAAGTCAACAGTATACACAGCCAAGACTACAAGGAGAGAATCCCCTATCCCCTGGATGACGGACTACATTCCAGCACGAAAAGCAGCGTGTTCGCCCATCAGAAGCCCTTCCATCGAGGTGTGTCACTATGGAGGCCGTCGTCGTCTCGACAGCAGCAACAGCAACAGGCGACCAGTCAACAGGTGGAGACGACGGCAACTAGCCAGAGGCAGAAGCAATCGCCGATCTCGATCTCGTTCTGGACGGCGATGCCACTGATGAGGGATCCTAGTCTTTATTCGACAGATCACAACTCCCATGGCAAAATGACCAACGGCCAGCAACAGCAACCGTACACGAGCAATAGATTCCCTCAGGTGTCGCCATCCTGAAGGGGTCGCCGTCATCCCGGCGTGATCGTTCGCCTCGTCGCGCTATCCGATTAGGCTAATCGCGTAGAAACCGAGGGCACGTATCACACGGTAGATGAATCGTGTGTCGTCGAGGTTTTCACGGCCCCCGTTTGCTCCCTGTCGGTGGGAACATCCAGAGACTGTGGAACTGTGCCAAATAAATTAAGAGTCGTGAACTCTTGCCGACTGGCGATTTGCGTGCCAACTGATGCGTTCGTCGCGGAGAACCGATAGGCGGGCCGATTGATCGTATATAACACGTACTTACTTGTCGGGCCAACGAGCACACACAGAATCGTGCGGAGCGTGGTCGCCGATAGCTGCTGCTTGGTGCATCGCTGCGTTGCGTAATCGCGCGCGGACTTTGTCGTGTTATGTCGAGGAATGTCTGTGAGCGATTGTTCTTTAAGGGAGGCAGCGAATAATACGTGATCTGTCGGGGATCAGCGGCGGGAATTGCGTTCGAATTCTTCGAATTGTAAACCGTCTGCGTGTACGTCTCTCGCGATCGAGAACGACAAAACAACCCATACATGTATACCGAGATACAGATAGATATGTAATACTCTCAGGCCTAATTCTCCCTTTTCTTTTTGTATTTCAACGTCGATTCGTACGAATTTCTACGACGTATGTTTCTTTCTTTCTGGATCAATTTTATTCAACGCTGTTGTAATCTTCGATCAAGTGGGAATATTCGCTAATCTGGGCCTAATTTATCAATTAAGCGTATACCTTTCTTCGTTTTTGTTTTTAAAGAATTGAACGATATTAATGGCGTGGATATCCTATAGTCACTCGTGTTTATAATCAGACGAGGCATTCTTTGGACGCAACAATAAGAAATATCGGTGATATTGTGGTAGATTCTTTTAATGTACATTTTAACGTCGTGATTAATTAACGAGGCTTAAATTAAAGAACCCACCCGAGGGTTTTTCGTCCAGAATGCGGCGTTATGTTAACGAGGGAAAAGTCTGAAGCACAACTTTAGACTTAGCAAGTGATAAACCGGTGTGGAATGACGTAAATATTGCCCAATGTTATCTCGTTAAAATTCGGCCTAAGCGCCGCTTTCTACAATTGACAATGAGGCGTGCGTATCCTCTCGTTCGGGCGTCGAGAACGAAATCGAAACGCGCTCGTCTTGTCTCGCGGGAATCCAAAATATTAGCTAACTCAGCGTTCGAATTTTCCTGGAAGTCTGCATATTTTTAGCCGTTTTACTACGGACACGTCACGATCGAAAATTTCACGGCACGCTACCAAAAATACATACCCGGGATATCGCGCGCCATTTGCCACAAAGAACGTTGTGTTATGTGAAAACAGAGAGATGAGCCGTTAAAGACGGGCTCTGCAAGGTCGCGTTCGACACATCGCCTCTTTATCGCGGATCACTGCCTAATTCGATCGGTCGAAAGACGATCTTCCGTCAAATTATATTATCCGTCGATGCAGCGATGATAAGTACGATAAATAAGCATATCGAATAACAGCGATTCTGTGTGAAAATGCTTGGCTTCGGTGGAGCAACTTGCTTGCTTGGTTCCAACCAACCGGGCAACTTGCGTTTGTATAGTCCAATTACGAGTTACGAAATACGTCCTCGATCGAATATTGAACACCCTCCCTCCCTCCTTACCCTCAGAAGATCACCTTTCAAACTATCAGTGTGCGATGTTACGTTCGCGCGGAATCTGGGTTCATGAACTCGCGGAGAAAATGCTTGTGACCCGGGTATATCGAATCAGACTGATTTTTAGCGGTATTTTGCTTTATTTATAGAACATGAGAATTCACGAGTCCCTCTGATCACGGAAAAAATGTGCGAAGAGAGGTGCGCGCTGCCCCTGCTCTGCAGCGATCAAGGTATTGTTCATACAGCTTCATGTGCGTCATCGTGTCTGCTTTTGTGCGGCGAAGCATAAACTGTTGCGATTCTACTACACCTCCTTCCTGAATTTCCAGTTCCGAGGCAATTTTTGTATGCCTGTTTGAAAACGAAACGAAATTGCGAGCAACGTGATCTGAAATTTTTATTACGAAATGTAAACAGGAAATATGTACTACGATATGGAAAAGCGTCACCTTCGTCCTGATTTTAGCGGACAAGCTTCCGCAGTGTGCCCAGTTTGAACGAATACGAATTTTTTTGAAACTTCAGAAATTAAGAGAAATTCTTGCAAAAGTTTGCGAGCATCAGTCGTGCAGATATACTTATTTGTAATTTGGTACTTTTTCTTATACTATTCGTGAACCGTGAATTCACCGTGAATTCCTCTATGTTGCACGTCGATTTAAACTGAGCACACTTACTTATACCTAAATTCCGTTTTTAAGATACAATTGACTGGAAGCCAGCAAAAAGAGCATATTGTATTGTGTGAAATTTTAGAACTGTTTTGTTTACACGTAGCAGCGTATCTCTTATTTATATTTTATTCATGTAATACTGTGTACATTTATACAGGGGGGTCGTAACATTTTATGTTTCTGTAGCGTAATTGAGTCGAAACTTACACCTACACTGTATAGCGAAAACACGTATCTATGTAGTATGAATGTTTTCGATGTGCGATTTGGTCATTGTTCTACGCGAGAGTTCCGAAGATAGTTCTCGGAACAGTGAAAATTGATCATCTGTCATCAGGAATCGATGTTGTTCAGCTTTACGACCGTCGATACGATCGTTTCCTTTCCACTTTTTACACGTACGATAACTTTTTTGTACGAGAATATGTGGTAGAGTGCATGCAGTACAGAACGAGAAATTATTATTACCAAGACCTTTCTGAAATGCGAAATCCTTTAGATTTTTTATTCGTAAATAAAATTTTCTGCGTGGGGCCGTCACATACGGATCAACGAAATAAAAAAAATTTCAAATCGCGGCCAGTAATTTTTTTCTTTTTATTGCTCTACGTATGTTTCGATGTGGTGTGTAATCTCTCTTTCTCATGTATCTGAATGTTAATTCGTGTACATATTAATTTTATTAAGAGGAATTGTATATACATTGCATAATTAAGGAGCATCATCGGCGTCTTAATATGTAGCAACTGTAACTGTATTAAAATAAAAATCACTCGATGTTGGTCTTTGGACTAAAATATTGTGCTTTGTTATTATTTACAACCTGTCCAGGCATGATAGGCGATTATGTTACAAATCATTTTATTCATTAAGCATTTTTTATTGTACATAATTTAATTATTAATGAAACTGCATGTTATGTTGTACTACTGGATGTACTTTTTATCCCTTTGAATCCCCTAGCTAAAAGAAATTTCTCTGTAGATTCGTCCCTTGTTGCCTGTGGTCTAACATTTTTTACAGTTTTATAAAATCTTGAAAGATCTTTCTCTAATTGTTGACATTTTCCACCATCCCACACTTTACAAAGAAAAGTTCCATCTACCTGAGAAACTTGCAAAGCAAATTTAAAAGCACTGTATATAAGTTGTATTATGTTCTCATGATCTATGTCTTTTACACCAGATGCATTTGGTGCCATGTCTGATAAAACTACATTAACTTTGTTCCCTTTCAATAGTTTTAAAAGTTTACTTTGAGTCTCTACTGTAGTAAAGTCCATTCCACCTAATAAAGTTGCACCTTCAATTGGGTAAATTGATTGTTTATCTATTGCAAAAACAGTTCCAACAGCATCATCAGTTTTAGCAGTTGCATTTGTTGTCTTGATAGCAACTTGAGTCCAGCTGCCAGGAGCAGCACCACAATCAATCACAATATGTCCTGGATGTAGAATTTTAAACCTTTCGTTAATTTCTAACAGTTTGTATGCACTTCTACATCTATAGTTTTCCTTTTTAGCCATTTCCACATAAGGATCTTGGAATTGTCTCATAAGCCATAATTGTGAGCTGTGCTTTTTTCCTTTTAAATTTGATGGTGCTTCCCGAAATAAGGTATTACAAGTATGTAAATCCCTTATTACCAAAAGATTCCTATATGAACACTTCATAATGGTTGTAAATATAACCTAATACACCATAGAAACAAAAATTTCTTGTACTAAAATTGTATGTACAAATTGATCAATTTCTTATTTTCGTGGTTCTCTTAATATTCAGCGATACATTGCACAAAACAGTTAATACAAATCGTGCTTCTTTTAACTAAATCATAACACTAAACGCAGCTATATAGGATGTTTCACGTGTAGTTAAAAACTGCGAATCCGATTCTGGTATCAGCTGATTAATACATATGAACACGCATGCGTAGAGGCTCCATGATGGTGACGAAACTTCGTAGTTATGAAAAGTATCTCGTGTTGCTTGCCGGCGAAGATGCGATAGAATTCCACGCGTAAACGATCGTTCAAGCGAATGTTACGATTAAAGAAGTGATTTACGATGAACCTAACCACGGGGAATCCTCACGGGAACGGATTGCTGTATGCTGGTTTCAATCAGGACCAAGGTATGTGACCGAGTGTGCTACATTTGACAGTCTGGTCATGTATTGTCAAATTAATTTTTTTATTTCTAACCTCTATATTTAACGCCTCTAACATAAACTTATCACGACTTTATTTCATTGTACAGCTAATGACATTTTATTGCCAAACAAAACGTTTTGGTAATGTGCTATTTGCAAAAAAATAATTGAAATTTGAAAATTTAGTGTAATTTGCTTTCTTCTAACCTTATTCCTGTAAAATTATTGTACATTTTTAATAATAAAGCTACATTGAATTTACTTTA